GAATTTAATTACTTCATGTTATAAAGTTTCACATGCTTGCTTTTATTGTTTCTGGATTTGTAGAGGTGCAGTCAAACATATTGGTTAAATGCGTCTCATCATGTGGTCCCACTTAGCGGTAGATTCTTATTAAGAATTTAAGACACAAATTAAAAAATAAAAAATAAAAAAAATCAAAATGTCAAAATATTTACTGTCAAACATAAATATAAATATATAATAGGGTTAATAAGATATAACCCCCTCATTAGAAAAAATATTAGGACTAACCACCTAACAATATTTTTAATGGGTCAAACCCCCTCAGAAATGTCAATTACTGAACTACCCCTATAATTTGTAATAGCAAAGACCCCCCCACCGTTTTCCCCAAATACTGCATATTTTCAACCATATTCTTCAATATAATTTCTCCTCCATTTCCGTTGGTCTGCTATACTTAAGCCGAGAAATTCTCCCAAAAAACAAACTGCAATATATATCGGATATTTTCCCCTTTCAAACATTTCCCTAGTTTGCTACATCTTCAGCAAAAAATAAAAACCAGAATACCATAATATTGTGCAATTCGTTCAGCAACACAGGTTGACAAACAATGGTGAAGAACGGCAAGAAGAAGACAGGTAGTTTGCTATATACCCATCTTTACCACACAATTTCTGTTTTTGACACCTTCTTCAGCGAGTCCGAAGGACAAAATCGAGGTCTCCTACAGAAACGGTATACAGCGGTACGCGACAACCATATGCGACGGTTCGGATGTCTTCCATGGTTGATTACTAAAAAATGGAGTTTGTAAACACGATTGTTTTTTAGATCTACAAATCTATGGTCGCACTATTTGTTGACTCATAAATATTTGTTTTCCTATGAAATTTGTTTTATCAGAGTCCAAAACAAAGAAAAGATCAGTATAAAAATCGGTAGTTCACTATATTTTTCCCGAAGTCAACTATAAAAATCGGTAGTTCACTCAGAGTCAACTATAAAAAGCGGTAGTTCACTATATTTTTCCCGAAGTCAACTATAAAAATTAGATAGTCAACTATAATTTTTACGATGTCAGCTATAATAAATGGTAGTTAACTATATTTTTGCCAGAGTCAACTACAAAAATTAGATAGTCATCTATAATTGTTCAAATGTCAACTATAAAAAAATTGGTAGTCAACTATAATTTTTCCATTAATTTACCATATTATTTTTCAATTTAAGATACTATGATGTTATAAAATTGAATACTCATGATAAAGATCCCATCTTCATGAAAACATAAATTTCATAGAGTAGAAAATAACTTGATTTCAAGGACCAAAAAATGAGATATAGAAGAAAAGGTACAGTAGTGAGAAGAAATAGTGGAAAAAAAATGAAACAGAAACAGACGAGAAAAGAGGAATTGACAGAAAAATAAGAAGAATAAAAGAACACGTTAAAAAATTGAGGAAAATAAGGAAGAGAGAGAAATTAATGGAGATATAAAATGACGGATATGAGAGAAATAAGGAGAAGAGAGAGAAAGTTGGAGAAAAATATAGACAAAAAGGGCATAATGGGCATTAACATAAGCTTAGGGGGGTCACACAATTCAGAAAATATTAAATGGATTTGTCTACAAATGGTGAATTATAAATTGGGCCTGTACTATATTAATTTACCTAATGAGGGGGTTATCCCTCATTTTCCCTATATAATGTAATTAGTACTCACTTGTACTATGTGATTATTTATCCAATACAACCATAAAATCACATTCTTTTTGTCAAACATGATCCTATTATAATACCGAAATTAGAGCACATGTCTCGTTGGTCGCTAGATCGAGCTTCTCATACATGCTTAGTTTAGTACGGTTTACGTCTCTTGTATAATTTGCAAATTATTATACGAGAGTGTAGGATTAACCAGTGCACCTATAAATTATTTATTTATTTTTGTAGGTGCTACTAAAAGGCTCCATCCTCACTTATCCAGCTGAAAGTGGTCTATCCAATGTATCTAATGATTACTGCAATTTTCCCACATGGATGGTTTCCTCTCTGTCCCTTTTGGGGACCCTTTTATTAGTTAGCTTTCACTCAAGAAATCCTTTACTTCAACATTGGGATTTTTAGAGCATGTGATTAAGATTAATTTATTTAAGTTAGCATGTTTTAAGAATAATTTTGAGAATCAAACAAAAGATTTCTAATGCCAAAGTGCAAATCACAATCTTGGTCATTATCCCTCGTGCATCTCTAATTTATAGGACCACTCTTAAAGTTGAATACTTAATTTTTTTCTCTCTCTTTGCATATATGTTTAATTAATAAATGAACTTACCAATCTCAGAAGATTCGGTTTCGGTTTCGGTTCCTTCACAGACCAAATACGCATTTGCAACTCTAGCATCTACGAACTTACTCTCACTTAAAAAAAAAAACAGATATTTTATCTTTTTATTTCGTAGTAAAACTCTTGTTACACCTTTTGCTATGGAACAAAATTATTGTAAATTTACATTCAAAAAAAGGGTTTAAATTAAGATTCTAAACTACAACACCCAATCGGGAAAAAAACATGATCCTTTTCCTATTAGTGTGATAGTGTCTACTATTTACTAAATAAAATAGGGGTAATTAGTCGGAATTATGGAGTCGGGGACAGTGCCCTGAATTTTATTCCCTCCAAATAGTATACACATGAAAATACAGATATATAAAAGCTTCGAAATTAAAAATTATCATTTAAAGTTTTAAGAGGATTTTAAGAAGATTTAAAGATAAATTTGGTAATAATGGTTAATAAATTAAAAATGCTAGTACAAAATGTGTATTTTGTTAACAATTAGGAAAAATAGTACAATTAATTGGAAGTCGGAACACCGCACCACCTAGCAACTGCTAAAGAAGCTCTTTAGCATTTAAACCACAGACCATATACATTGAAATTAGTATATATATAACCTTATATCATATTTTGATAGATATAAAAATAGTTTTTTTTTTTAAATCAAGGGTGTGGACTCGCACACCTTGACCACATCTGCATCCTCCACTGTTGTTTAGGTTGTATTTGGTTGGGGAGATTAGCCATAATTAACTAAATAATTGAATTTTGTTAGATGTTTACTATCCTCAATAACTTACCGGGTCGATCCGCATATTATGTTATCATGGCTTATCTTGCATTTTAAGCATATTTTTTGTTGGACCTTCCAAGGTCCAACAAAATAATTGGTTTTATTAGATTATTTAGTCTTTACTTGGCTAATCTTATCTTGGCAACCAAACGGGACCTTAGTCTACTTCATTTGCTCTATTAGTGAAACCCTCTTAATTATTTATTTAATATTTTTATTTAACAAACTAATAACCAATATACCATATTTGTCCTAACATGCCATATTTTTAAGATACGTGATTACGTGAAACATATTTCTCTTATCCGTCTTTCTTGTATTTCCACCACTCGACATTCTTTATTTCTCCATTTTTTCCATTGCTGCCGCGATTCCACCCCCACCCGCTGCTGCACTCCACTGCCACCGCCGATGCAGCCGCCAAACTACCCGTTCTCTTAATCTCTATTTCTCTGTCTACTCTATTTCCCCATCGACGTTCCTACCTCCACCATGGTAGAAGTTAGACGGTCTTCGTCCCCAAGGCGGCACTAGTATTTTCAAGTGGCTACCCGACTTCCACTCCTCCCTTCCACCTTCCCCCTATCGCCGCCATCTTCCCCCTATCGCACGTGTGATTTAGTGTTTTCTACATTTCTAACTATCAATAAGATATAACTGATATTCTTCAAATATTTAACTCTTTTTTTAAGTTCTACAATTTTAACTCATTTACCAATTCTTTAATTTTTCACCAATTTTTTCTTTAAATTGTTACATATTTTGCATATATACTATTAAAAAAAAAAGTTCGGGGCGCGGTTTGGAATAAAGATAGTGAGTTAGGGATGGTTTGGAATAAATATAGTGAGTTAGGGGAGGTTCGATGGTCATTTGTGGTCCGACCTCTATGGTTATCTGTTCGAGAGGAGTACTGTTGAGGTACAAACCAAGTTCGACATTAGTTTAATATGGAAAATGCCATTGGTTTATCGAGTCTGGATAATAACTCTATTGGTATGATACTATTTGAGAATATCAATGAGCAAAAATCAATTGGGCTTTACCCAAATTGGGCAATATCATACTAATCTGACATGGGTTAACTCAGATAGATTTATGGTACGGTTCAAACACAAAGTAAATTCGTTGGATTCATATAAATTGAGTAAAAAGGTAATATGGATTCATATCCACTTTTTAAGAAAGAATAAGTAAATATGAATCCATATTACCTCTGTGAAATGAAACGTATAAATAATCCTATTTGTTCAAAATCAATTTTCAGTATGAAATCAACACCCCTTTTGCGTTCATTTCAGCATAAAAACTGTAACAAACAAAATTTCATAGTATCATATAAATGTGAGAGTAAAAAAGTAATACAACATAAACTACATGTGTTAATGATTTGAGGGTTGATCGTTAAGTTAAGGGGCCATTTTGTCGCATTTTGTAGTACGGGAATATATATGCGAGGCTGATGATAGTACAGGGGTGCAACTTGTATTTAACCCTTAAAAGAGTTCAAACACATTATATTTAGGGCAAATTACGGCCACCTCTGAGATAAGCCTAAACTACGAAAAAACCTCTCTTGTTTGGATAATTATAATTACCCTTTCAACTATGTATTGTCTTATGAAAAAAACCAACCTCTTTCAAT